CTTTCTGACAACTACCAGTAATGCCCTGCATGCACACAGGGTCGGGTCACCGGGCGCACTGTGCGCAGCTGTGTTTTGGCTCTGATCGATAAATCCACAAGAGTCTTCACCTGTTAACAGCGGTATCGAAGCCGTCTGGCACGGGCAGGCTGATTTGTGTCTAGCATGTACACCCACACACTCAGGTAACATGCAGACTGATAAGCACCACTCTACTAAGAATAGTCCTCTACTTTAACACTGATTAATGACTCTCATAGGTTATGCCACTTAAAGCACGGAACTAAATTTAGCGTTATTAAAACAAATGGCTCATCGAATCAACAAAGTGTGATTAAAAGGCACATAGTAACATACAAATGTGATATACTGTGGCCAACCCATTATGCTGGACACACAACAGCCCCAGATTAGCAGGGAAAGCTGATTACTGGATCAAAAACATATTTAGCATGATAAATTAGGTCAGTGCTGTCCACACAGCAAGACACAGAATGGTTGCAGCACTTCAAAAATGGAACCAATCCCAATACCTTTCCCCAAAGAAATAAGCCATTAAACTAGAACGTGGAAATAATGAGAACAAAGCAAGCTTCCCTTGCTATAAAGCACATGGTTCATTTATCTTAAAAGTAAGACAATTCTTTAGCATGGTTATATCCCTGACCTTTCCCCTTCTGGAATGGGCACACTTTTGCTAGTTACCATAACAAACAAAAATACTAACATACTGTATTAGGCCTTGTTCACACCAAGCGCGGAGCAGATCCGGACCAGAGCAGGTGCAGACCGGATCAAAACTGCGTCCAATGTATTCCTATGGTATTTTGAGCTCCCGTTCACATCACAGCGTGCGGATCCAGACCGGATGAAAAAAATGCGGCAAGCCCTATTTTAACTGCTCTGGATCTGGAACGCATCAAAAACGCATCTAAAATGCAAAAATGCATCAAAAACGCATGCAAGTGCCTGAAAGGCCATGTTAAACTTTTTTTTTTTTTTTACCAAAACCAGCCCTAAACGCATCAAAAACGTGTCTAAAACGCGGCACAACCCACTACACTGCGTGTGCAGAAACCTGACCGGATCTGGTCTGCATTTGGTGTGAACAAGGCCTTACACTGAAATTAAATACAAAGAGGGAAATTTATCAAAACTGGAGCAGGTAAACATGGGACAGTTGCCCAGGCAACCAATCAGCTTCTCTCTTCAGTTAAGGTGCCCATACACCTTACAATTATGTGCAGATTTTCTGTGGTCAGATGGAAAAAGTGCAACAGATTGGCCCAGGTGGAGATTACTCCATCCACACAG